GGGTTTCTCACCGTTTAGTTGGCATGTCTCTTGTTTGTGTCCATGGCAAAAACATTACTTCTTGGAAATACAATTCCCAAAGCACTCATTATCAATGGCATTTAATGACTCAATTAGTATATGGTTTGGGAAGATTTTATAAAAGCTAGATTAGAGTTTTGAAGTCAGTGAAAGCTATTTTGTTTATAATATTTGCACTATTTAAGGATACTATCCCAGCATGACAATTTGGAGAAATAGCATCATCTTCTGTAATTTGAAACTTAGCATTTACTGATATTTGAAAATTCTGAAGGAAATCCAAAGAGTAGTCACAACAAGAATCAATATAAAATGACTTCAAAATTTGAGAGTCTTTCATGATCAAAGTAGAAATATCCATCCTTTGATTTATTCAATCACTTTTACAACATAGTTGAACGTCTTATATAGCTGTTCATATTTGGGGCAAAAAGTACAAACAAATTTGGTAGCTTTTTGGTAGTCTCTGAAAATGAATTCTTGGGAAGTATTGGAAGATGCAACAGGAGTTCCTCTTTATGTTCTTGGTATATTTTTGGACTAATTTTATGCATTCCTGATTCCAGACTAGTCATTTGGGGGAACACTAACAAGATCTATTTGGGCAACATACTATCTGAAGTAAGAACTGAGAATATAGCACTAGATGAAATCAAATATCTGGCCAATGTAATATTTTCAGAGTCATAGAGATGATCAAGTGAGACCATTTTTGAGCTAGGGGTGACCTTAAAACCTTTTACCCCTAGTATGGCATAAGCACTGGCCAATCAGGATCTAAACACTAAAGCAAGGTCCTGGAGAACTCCTGCTGTGCCAGCCAGCACCCCATTTTTGCTGGATCATGAGAGGTCTTGAAGAAGGTACCAAAGTGGAAGGGGCAATGGAGTTGCACTGATGGACAAGTGCCAGCAGTTATGTACCAAATGCTACAGATACATTTAATGTTTTATCAGGCTGCATGGCTCTTCTGGCATATGGAAGCTGAATATCAGCCCTGTCTTTGACTCAAGCTTTTCTAGGACAGTGGTTCTCAAAATGTGGTCTAATGACACCAAAGAGATTCTTGAGATTCTTTTGGGAGATCCATGTTCTTACCTTTTTCAATGGCATGTCTGTGGTAAGCTAGACTTTCTTGACATGAAAGAAACCAAACTGCACACTGCAACAGCTTAAATGCTAAAGCAGATATGCAAACCTGGTCATTTTTTACTAAGCTGGACAGTAAGTGATTTGTAAAAATGTAAAATAGTGTCATTCTTCTTAAAAATAATTGTCTTTGCTTTGAAAAATATAGTACTTTCAACAAAATACACTATTTTTGATAATGTAATGGGTTTATTGTTTCTTTGTAATGAAGTAATAAATAACTTTTAAGAGTATAAAGGGATACTGTGACCGAAGAGTTTGAACTGCTACATTAAGAAATTAAACAATAAGAACTGTAGCACACTGGGAAAGAAAGGCTGAAGAGCCCCCACCCCAGATCATGCTGCTCAGAGTTTCCACTGTCACTTGAAAGCTTACTTAATAACTTTACAATATCCCTTTGTTCTCTCTTATGCAAAAACATGTACCAGCGTAAATTTAAATTTCAAAACCTCAATAATTTGCACTAATTTATGTGTATAAAGTTTTCAGTATTGTGTTTTTTTGGGTAAAAAAATGCATTTCACTAAACTGTGCTAAAAGAACTATAATCAAAATGCCATTCAGAAGAAAACAGCTTTACATAATAAATTAAAATTATAATATAACCTATCAATTGTCATATTGAAGGTACTTCTATGATGCTTGCAATCTACTGGTTTTGTATATTAAGTGTTTCATCAGAAATGCTTTTCACGCTATCATTTTTACCTGATTTTCAAAAGGAGGAAAGTAAACAGCCTCGATTTGTGCTATTATTTCACATTCTGAAGCAGCAGAATCTAAATTATTCTTCACTTTATCTAAGGTAATGATAATGGAAAGGTTTCCCATAATTGTATAAAGTTGACCCTTGAACAACACAGGGATTGAATGCCAACCTCACACAGTCAAAAATTCACATACAACCTGGCTGGTGTGGCTCAGTGGTTGAGCATCGACCTATGATCCAGGAGATCACGGTTCGATTCCCTGTCAGGGCACATGCCCGGGTTGCGGGCTCGATCCCCAATGGGGGGTGTGTAGGAGGCAGCCGATCAATGACTCTCTCGTCATTGATGTTTCTCTCTCTCTTTCTATCTCCCTTTCCCTTCCTCTCTCTGAAATCAATAAGGACATATTTGGCCCTCAGCAGCTGCGGATTCCCAACTGCAGATTGATAACTGTCTTCTGTCTGCAGTTGGTTGAAACTGCGGACGGGAAACCAGAGGATACAAAGGGGCAACTCTTATTTATTGAAAAAAACATGTGTAAGTGGACTCGTGCAGGTCAAACCCATCTTATTCAAGGTCAACTGTATACCAAAAAAACAAACACCCCAAATGATCTCCGTATAAAGCTGGGATGTCAAAGGGCTACAAGGTAAATGAAAACGCCATGCATCAGAAACAAACTTCAAGGGAAGTTGCAGGTCTCAAGCTTAACACTAGATGAAGGAAGGGAAAACAGATAATTCCCCCTAAGAATCTGACCGACTGTTCTTGCTTTGATTACAGTTTCAGTTCATACAATCAGCCTGGTCATGGACCTTAAGCAGAGAATGTGGGAAGTACGCCCAGGTGACTAACAAGAGCAAACACAAATTATCTTGTAATGATGACATTGATGATATGAGGAGAACAAATTTCAGAAGTGTGAAAATGTGGAAAAACAACAACAAAAAATGTGTATCTTAGAAACAATGAAATACAGTAATTAGAATTTACTGGTATATAAAATTAATTAAATAGTGCTTACATAGGATTAATGTGTATTATGTCATACTTTATCAACCATTCTAATATACTTTAATTTACTCTAGCAAGTACGATGCAAAAAATAAATAATGATGGACACACAAAGTTATCCCACATTCTTGGTGTGTCAACTTCTAAGACCGCAATAAAATTGTAAAAATTAACATGCTCATCTCAAAACCAAGACATTTGATAAGCTATTTTTAGTGCATGCCATCTCTTTTTCTGATTTCTTTTTTCTGAATGTGTCTATGCATTTTGAATATATTTGTATTGCTCACAGATAAATTTATTAAGGTCCCTTCATTTTCATAGTTCAATAAGAAAATGTATAGCTCTTAAAAAAAGCAACTTTTGAAAACAAAGATTAGGAATATACTTTTAAAACCTACATTTAAATTATAAGGTGCTCTGTGTTCAAAACTTGACATCACAATGTTATCAGGCCAATAGCACACATGCTCTTTCTTTTCATACTCTAAAGCAGAAGCCCCAGGTTCTGGATGTGCACAGCACCAGGTGGCAGCTCTCACTCTGCATTCCTTTTATGTTCACTGGTTTGGCTTCTGTGAAATGTAGACCCAGGCGAGGTGCGTTGCTGCAACTGGCATCACAACGCTACACTGCAAATGTAGTATTATAGGTTCTTAAGAAGACAAGAACTGAACTTCCAGTCATTAGTGTTAAGTTACCTAATTCAGTTTTGATGCTTTTGGGTTATAATTTGGATTCAGAAATATTTCTAATCAGTGGGCATTTGACCTGGCTAAATTTTAGAAGATCAAATGATTGTAGTCTATGGATGTTTGGTATGGGACCAACATACCAACGTATGATCATGAGTGTTATCAGAAATCAGCTGTCTTCTGGGGGCAGTGGGGCTACCCACTGACCATTAAACTGCACTCTAAAAACACATGGGTCATTCTGCCTTTCTAAAATTGAGAATATTGAGACTCTTGCCTATTTTTAATTAGCTTTAGGCACTCCATGATGATTCTCTTTTTCATGTCTTATGGTAATGAGTTATAGATAATACAGAACTTGGACATAACTATACTCTTTAAGAGGAATTTTGAGACCTGCATGAAAATACTCAAAACAAATGAGAGTCTTAGAAACTAAAAAATGACTAAAGGATTTGTTAAGAAAAATCTGCACCCCCTTTCTTTCCTTACAAATGTTCTCTCAGTGCTGAGAGTGTAAATGCCGCATCAAATAGGATGCCTCTTAAATGATAAATGGATGAAGTAGGTGCTTTGAATAGAAATGCTAAATAAAGCTCTTCTGTTGAAATTATGGCCTTGGTACAAAATGGCATTTATTCAAGTCATTCAAACAACTTCATTCCATTTCACAAAGAATAAAAAGACCTCTTAGAAGCCCAGACACCTTTTCTTTGTCTTCTTACAATAAAAAATAACCCAAAGATATCATTTCAAGTGGAATTAGATCCATAAGCTTGCTTTTCTACCATCTTGTGTTAGGAGGGTAAATGGCTAATTAATAGTTCTATGCTTTTCTCTTTGTTGTCAAAACAAAATGTTGTGCATGTTAACTTTTCTTTCTCCTTGACCAACTGAAAACTTTATATTGCTATATACACATATATAACACATATCAACACATTTATGAACACACGGGCATATGCATAAATGCACATATGTGTGCAAGTAGAGAACCTCAATCTAAGTGTTTGTTTCCTTTTTTTCAAAACACAAACATTCAACTCTCACTGTTGATGTCACCGAAAATATTTTCTTAAGTAATCATACCCTGACTTCATAACTATTATACAATTACAGACCATTCTTTGCGAATAAGTCTTTCTGTGAGTGCCTGTAGGGTTCGAGTTTGGTTAAAAAACAGAAGACGTACTGTGGAGCAGAGCTGAGGTCAGTGCTGAACTCCTATACCCTTTCTCAAATAATTTTACCCTGAGCACATTGCCATAGGCCTGCTCATTTGCCCCCTGAGAAGCCATCTGGTTTTCCACGAGACCTGATTTCCTCTTGGCCCCAGTCGTCTGTCTTGTTGCTCTTTCTGAGGGACATCTGTGGCCAAGTTTCTGAGCACAAGCCAGTGAGGACTCACCTCTCCTTCCCGGGGCCAAGGCCTTCCGTTCTGGGTGTATTTGCTTTGGTTCTGCCTCTTCTTCTGTCCTCCATCAGCGAATTTGCACAGTAAAGGCTCACTAGGGGCTGGGGAGATAAGAAACCAATCCCATATTAGCAAATTCCCCTTAAAAATCGGTGATTATGTGAGTCACAGTAGGGCTTTGTAATGCATAGCTTTTGAAGTAGTCTTGCTTCTAGAGAGATATTTGGCCCCCTTTTAGTCTCAGCTCTGTTGGCGGCTGATCTAACTGGACTTCAGAAAAGTACTGGCAGACCATAAAAGAGTAGGACAAGCATTGTTGAAAAAATAATCAGTTGAAGCAGAATGTGAACTCGCCTTAGAAGTAAAGAGGCATGTGTCGACCCCTTCCAGTTACGTTAGACGCATATTCATAACCAGTATTTGTGTTTGGATAAATATTTCTCCCTCAGATCGACTCTGTTTTCCCTGTAGAAACTGTCCAATTCTATTTTGGAAAGAGGTGCTTGGGAGCTTCTTTCTACAAAGGGGGCTCTTTTGCTAATTGCCACCAAACTAGCTATTTTTCTCATTTTCCTCTATAATTTCATAAAGGCTAGAAACTGATTGCTCACTCACCCCCTCTCACTCCAACTTCCCAGTAAAATCTCGTCAGAATCCCAGGGAGACCAATGATTTGAATATTAAGTGAACCCACATGATAAAATATAGCTGAAGGATATGGCCCTAAGGAACAAATCATGGATGGGGGGAAATATGGGCCTACTGAGTTCTGTACACTTATTTCCTAAGAAACCGTGACCCAAACTGAAGTCTGCCAGAACTCCCCTTCTAGCGATAACACTGCAAAATGATAATCTTTTAAAAACCTAACAGGGCAAAAATTGTTCTTTGAAAATTGATGCCACCTCCACATCCCTACTTGACTGTGAAAACTGCTGCTTGTTAAAACTACAAACATATTTAAAAATGAATGAATTAAAAAAAAAAAAAAAGCCACGTTGGCCTCAAAAACGTGATCAATGCACTAATATGCCCGGGAGGGTTTTTTGTTAGCTTATGTGCTTGAATAAACCAAATATTAACTTGGAAGTTTATAGACTGAAAACCAAAATGAACCCTTTCCTCCCCCCCTATACTCTGGAGAAAAAAATGTGTTCTGCTGAGAATTAATTGTGTTAATGTCCTAATTCTCCACTCCTCCCAGTACCCTTTTCTCCTGCCAGGTAGCACTGCGGAGTCCTCTCAGTCTGATTCTTGGTCTGACCCCCTGTAAATTGCTTTGGCCAATGAGATATTAGCAAATGAGACAAAAGAAGGGGACTTAAATATTTTTGCTTCTTCTGCCTTTGTGTATGGCTACGTGACTCTGCCCAGCTGGCCAGTCGGGAGATGAGGCACAAATGCAGACGAGTCATCCCCACCACCCCAGCCAAAGCCAAACTAGATCACCCAATGCCGGCCCCCGTACAGACACTGGAGTGAGCTCCCCTAAGATCACCAGGGGCACATAGGTAATGTGCAACCGACCACAGAAACATGTATGAGCCCAGGTAAGATCAGTCAAGGCCATCCCACACATCTGTAATAAGTCTTCATTGTTTCATGCACTACGATTTAGAAATTGATATGGAGCATTATCATCTTAATAGATAATCCCAAAACCCATTCCTCCCCATTTTCACTCCCAGTGAGGTTGCTCGCATTTACTAATCTGGCTGAAGCAAAACATTATTATGGAATTTATCACATTACAAGTAGTCCAAATTCTTTCTCCCAAGGAAAGCCAAAAGGGTTAATGCAATCAATGGACCTCAAAACTCTATGCATAAGAAAATTTCCTGTGAGATTTCAAAAGTATATATTTATATATATATAAATCATTCCTCACTATAGGATATTTTTTCTCCTGACATTATAAACATTCAAGGTACATCCATCCGTTCAAATGGTACGGTCATGCTAAATGTGAGTTTATCACTGGCAATAACACAAATTTCTAGACAACCAAATTTAGAAATGCCTTAAATGTGCTGCTGTAAAGAATTGTAGCTTCTGCCTCTTTTCCTTCTCTGGATGACTTCCATGAGTCATACTTACTACTGTCTGAAGCAAGACTCATTGTAATTTTTATCTCCTAAAACAGATCCTTATAGACTGTGACAATGGCTTCTCTCCGGGCTATTCATGCTTCTATAGGCTTTCATGCATATTTTGGGTGCAGTCGATTATTAGGGGTGGCAGTCTGCTTCCTGGGTTTGAGGTCTGGTTTCCCGACTTGCTAGGTATAACACAATGGATATTATTTTTAAAAACATTTCTGTGACTCACTTTTCCTCATGTATAAAACCGGGGTGATAATGTTACTTACCTCAAAGAGCTGCTATAGGGATTCAATGAATTCATGCACAGAAAGGGCTTAAAACAGTGTATGGTGCATAAATAGGTACTAAATCCATACAGCTGTAACGATCAGCATCTCTTAGCACCTCTATTAGCCACTGCCAGTTATCAGCTGTGAAACCTGATCGCTTGTCAGCGTCAGAGTTGGGAGTGTTTAATCAACTGGCTTCATTTTCATCAGCTCTGTTCCATTCTAACTCCACGGTGATCTGGCCACAGTACGTGGGACTGTTCTCCAGGAATGACAAAGATGTTTGCTCATGGAGAGGATCTGTGTTTCCAAAATGGATCTTGCTGACTACAGCTTGTCATCGGACCATCTGGCCACTGCAGCCCAGGTCCCTCTCCTGAGTCACCACCAAAGTCTGGCTTCCATGATCCCCGGTGCACGATGCAGCTCGTGTTACTCTTATGTGTGTTAAAATGCAATTGCCCAAGATGAATGTTCCTTTTTCTTTCTTTTCTTTTTTTCGTTATGATTACTATTATTTTTGTGTGACTCAACTGCAAAAGGTCTATGGGCAGTTTAAATCCACCAAAGCTGTATTTTACTACTGGAAAAAGTATTGTGCCATCCACACAGTGATTGGTTTTATTGAGTTTTCTTTTCCCCAAATCCTACATTAAAATGTTTGATAATAACTGTTCTAGAACCAAGTTCTAGGAAATTTTTCTTTGTTGAAAGAGATCATCTTTTTAGTTTGTTCTCCATAAAACAACTATATACCTATAACTGCATATCTAAACTATGTAAAGATCATCTCTATGATCTGTCTAGACTATCTAAACTATCTAAAGTATCTAAAGAACTATCTAGTAAAGATCTAAACTACCTAAAGATCATCTCTTTAGTTTGTTCTCCATAAAACAACTATATACCTATAATTGCATATTTAAAAAGGCAGAGTTTTCCCAATTCTTTAGTTTAAATATGTATTAAATGTATATTATTAAATATGTAACAAATATATATAGCATACATTTATATAAACAAGATAATTAATATATATGTGTATATATGCACACATATGTATATATGTACACACATGTGCACATATACTTACATACATACATATTTAAAAGCCTTACTTTGTGCAAACTTGGAAGGTATAGAATTAGGGGGGCAGTGTTGGCAGGAAAACAGAAGGCACTGAACTAATTGTTAACCTTGGAATTTCTTCTACACACTGGTGTCGAAAAATTTTGCAGAAGCATCCTTGCAACAAAATTACCAAATGACAATATTCTAGTTTGCTAAGGATCAAATGGAGATAGACTATGAGACTCTGGGTTTAAACATACCTTGAAGTTTTCCATTATTTTTTTTCAATTAAAATTTTTTTCTGTTACAGTTGGCATTCAATATTATATTAGTTTAAGCATAGTGATTAGACATTTATACAACTTACAGAGTGACCACCCCCACCATAAGTCTAGTACCCACCTGCCCCACACACAATTATTGCAATATTATTGACTATATTCCCTATGTTGCACTTTACATCCCTGTGACTGTTTTTTAACTACCAATTTGTATTTCTTAATACCTTCACCTTTTCCACCCAGCCCCCAATCCCCTTTTCAAAAAATTATTTTTACTGCTAAGAGAAATTTACAAAGTCATGGAGTGAGACTTTAACTTCCAGCTGAGATGTCTTTGTGAATCATGTTTCACAGTCTTAGAAGCCTCAAATCTTAGCTGCCCTGATATTCGAGAATCTTCAATAAGCTACGGATGTTGATAATAATTTATTTATATTTGCTGATGTTGCTAAATTGAAACAACTGCTGCTACTTTACTAATTTGAAGAAGATTATGATGGGGAAAAAAGGACCACAATGTATTGCTAAATGAATAAAAAAATAAAACCCCAGAAACAAATTTTAAATGTGTCATTCAAAAAAGATGGGTAGCACAGTAGGTGTGACTCCGTGGTTGAGTGGTTCGATTCCCGGTCAGGGCACATGCCCGGGTTGCGGGCTCGGTCCCCAGTAAAGGCCGTGCAGGAGGCAGCCCATCAATGACTCTCTCATCATTGATGTTTCTCTCTCTTTCCCTTCCTCTCTCTGAAATCAATAAAAAGCAAAATGGATATATCCATAACATTGCCCTTGAATTCCAGGAATGTAATTTTGAGTTTTAGTTTCTCACATACTCTCCATCTGGGAAACTGCTAATCCGCCTTCAGAATGCAGCTCAAACGTGTTCTCAGGGAAGCCTTCTTTGACCCGGTTGCCTCGTGCTTACTTGGCAGGCTTTCATAGGTTGGGTGATGTTTTTGTTTGTGTTAAGTTCTTTGACAGTAGCAACTGATTTCCAGGTTTGAGAGTGAAAAGTAATGATGATAGCAGGGCTCAGAGTAAAGTTTATATATGTGTGTGAGTCCGTGTATTGTCAATAGCATTTTATACCAGGTATACATAGTGCTCTAAAGAGATGCTACTCAAAGTATAGTCCGAGTATCAGCACCTGGGAACCTGTTACACATGCAGAGTCTTGGGCTCTTCCCCAGATCTACTGAATCAAAATCTGCATTTGAACCAGATCCCCAGGTGATGAGTCAGCACATTGAAGTTCGAGAAACTTGATTATGACTGGCTCCCTAACAGAAGAAGGAATTCTTCTTAGGTATCAAACATGAGTCCTCTGAGCAATGAGATGAATTCAGTAGCACAGAAATATCATATTGTCTACAATTTC